TCAAAGCTAAAAACCAATAAACCATCCTCTGCTCCCCTTAAGAAAATTTGTTTATTCACCCCCTCACAAAGGAGATTGCCCTGTTTATCTGCCCGGAGAGCTCAGACATTCCTTGCATGTGCAGCACAGATGGTCACCACACCACAAAGGCAGAAAGGCTCACGGTGAACGTGGCTGGTTTCTGGATATACAGAAACCTGGTCAGAGCTCCTGCTCCAGCAGGGCTGCTCTGCATCCAAAATCCCAAACAAATAAGAAAGCCATCAATATCCTTTGGACAACACCTCTTAGTGGAAAAGGAGACCATCCAGGGAAAAGGAGCTGCACAGTGACCTTGGTTGTGAGTCTTAATTAATTAGTGTACATAGATTGTTTTAAGATCCCAAGGTGGGAAGTGCTAAGGAAGCAGAAGTATTATTTATTAAAGCTCAAGGCTCTGTTGTTTCTTTATCCTCAGATATTCTCCACGTCTGTTTTTGCATTCATGGCCATTGCTACTTCAAATTATTTCAGCTGTCTTGATCTTTTCTGTACCAAATGGAATAGCCCCAGGCAGAGGATATGCAGTATCTAGTAGCTCAGATACTGGGTTGGCTCATTGCAGTTATTTATCTTATTCCTTTCTAATTAATTTACTGTTGGGATCCCAGTCCTGCTCTTCCTTTGATTTTATAGCCAGACACCAAATGTGGCTACTCTCCATGGACAAATACTCTGAGACAGTAAATGCCATTAATATTTTTACTACCTCACTAAATGCACTTCTACAGCATGTAGAAGGAGTCTGCAAGGTCTGTTTTAGCAAACTGGGCATAAAAATCATTGCTAATTCTTCTGAAAACTGAAAGACAGAGCAGTTTAGCAGTAGCCATTTTAGTTCCCAAGGTGGGCAATACAAACTGTAATCAAAGAATAAACTTGGGGGAACTGAAAAGCAACTGAAACAAAGCAGAGCAGAAAGTTAATTTTGTAACACTCTATGTTCTGTGACACAAACTGTACATAAGTTTTTGTCTTCCTTTAAGAAATTACTGACTACAGAACTGTGTTCTATGTCATAGATAAAAAAATCACTGAACTTGTTTCTGCTTTTGGAGGAGTCATTCTAGCTTCCAGTACTTAAAATACATCCCTCTTTCTCTTCAAAAACACAGGGCACAAATCTCTGCTTTTTTCCTCAGCTTAGTAAAAACATAAATAAACCAGGAAATTAAAGACAAAAAGGAAAAAAAAAAAAAATAAAAAAAGATGAGAAAGCTACCTTTCTCCACATCCTGTTGTGCCTAAATAGAACATGTTGTACCAGCATGTAGGATTTCTCAATAAAATGTATCGTGGACACTTCAAAAGCTGAGCATAATCAGGAGAGTTAAGTGAGGAATGTCAGCTTGGATGGGGGATTGTGCTGCTTTTGTTATACATTAGTTAAGCACGAAGGTTTGTGGATTTTTACTTTATCTTGGATTTTACTGTAGTGTAATTCAACTCTGTTACCTTTTTCAGTTTCCTAAGTGTTCCACTAAGTGCTTGTGTGGATTTGGGTTTAAGGATATTGTAGACAGATCCAGAGGAGATTGAAGTCAGTGGCAGAGGCCTCTGCAGGGTGCACTGCGGGAACTTGGTCTTCCTTCTTCCTAATCCCCCTGGGATCAGCCCTCAGACATGTGCAGAAATAAGGATTCAAAACCATGAATTTGCTATGGATCCACAGGCAAACCTCACACTTACATCAGCAAAACCAGGTTTCCCAGAAAAGTGTCTTTGATTGTAGTAGGATCATTCACTTTACATTAATCTTATGCATTAAATTCATAGCCTTTACAGGATTACATCCTTAACAGTAATTCCAGGTTTGGGGTATCCTGGCAGCTGTGTCTGGCCCCTCCCCATCTTGGACCTCTGTCATTTTCACCGAAGCACAATTTATTTCCTTCAGTTACCTCATCACACCTGAGTCTTCATATAGATACTACAGCAATAAAACCATCATTTTTGCAGTGGGATGCTTGAACTCCTCAGACAGTGGTATCTCCATGTAACCAAACATGTAAACAAATAGTCAACAAACTCATTTCAGTACATTTTACTACCTCTGAAACCGCCTAGACTTCTATAAAAAACGTAAGTTTTTTAAGGCTTCATGTGTCAAATTCTGCATCAACACCCCTTTTATAGCCACAGCTCTGACAGGAAAACCACCCCAAAACCCCATTTAAAAACCAGACTCCTCACCTACTGCAGACACATGGGCAGGTGTGTCACATCGCTGGATCACAATTTCCTTCATGTCTTCACAAGAGAACACTGCCTGGGGCTGGGGGAAAGGACTGCAAGCAGGGACCATTTTATTCCTCCCTCTGGGGTGATGTGGGGAGCAGCACCTTACAGAGGGGAAGAAACCTGCTGAGGGGAGACCCACTATGGCGGGAACCCAGCTGAGGGGGAGAGACCCACCATGGCGGGAACCCAGCTGAAGGGGAGAGAGCCACCATGGCGGGAACCCAGCTGAAGGGGAGAGAGCCAGCATGGCAGGAACCCGCCTGAGGGGGACAGAGCCACCATGGCAGGAACCCGCCTGAGGGGGAGAGAGCCACCATGGCGGGAACCCAGCTGAGGGGGAGAGAGCCACCATGGCAGGAACCCGCCTGAGGGGGAGAGAGCCACCATGGCGGGAACCCAGCTGAGGGGGAGAGATTTTCTCCTCATGGCAGGAACCCACTTAGGAGGAATCCACTGTGACAAAGACCCTCTCCAAGCTGAGAGACCTGCTGAGGGGACACCCATCATGGCATGAACCTCCTGATAGGGAGAGACTTTCTGATGGGAGAGACATGCTGAGAAGAGACCCACCATGGCGGGAACCCTCTGATGGGGAATCTACTGTGAGGGGAGAGACACATTGTGGGGAGACTCACCATGGGATAGACTTGCTGAGGAAGAGACCGGCTAAGGGGGGAGAGACACTCAGGGGAGACCCACAATGGTGGGGTAAGAGCACATCCATGGTGTGGGAAACACTCTTTGAGGGGAGAGACCTGCCATGGCAGGCACCCCCTGAGCAGGAATCTACTTGTGAGGGAAACACCCATTGTGGGGATGGTCTATTGACCATGGGATAGACTTGCCGAGGGAAGAGATGCACTGAGGGGAGACTCACAATGGGGAGAACACACTGCAGTGGAGACCATTTCAGAGGGGAGAGACTCACCATGGCAGGGACCCTCTGAGGGAGAATCCACAGTACAAAGATACTCTCTGAGGGGAGGGACCCACTACAGCGGGAACTCACTGAGAGCATATCCACAGCAGGGCAGACACTCTCTGAGGGGAAGGACCTGCTAAGGGATAGACTTTCTGAGGGAAGAGACCTGATGAGGGGATAGACCCACTGAGGCAGGAACCCCCTGAAGGAAAATCCACTGGAAGGGAGAGACTTTCTCAAGTGACAGACCTGCTAAATTCTCTTCAGCCATGTGATAGACTTGCTGAGGAGAGACCTACTGATAGAAGAGAACTTCTGAGAGAAGACTTTCTGGGGGAAGAGACCCACTAAGAGGAGAGAGACACCTCAGAGAGATCTGCTGAAGTAAGAGACCAGATAAGGGGAAAAGCCCGCTGAGATGAGGGGGACCTGATGAGGGGAGAGACTGTCTGAGAGGATACCTGTGGGGGGGACCCGCTGAGGTGGGTATCACCGATGCCTCAGCTCTGCACGCTGATGCCACCCGGGGGAGCCGCTGCAGCAGAGCGGGCTGGTGGCTTGAGGGCAGTTTTGGGTGCTTGCAATGGTTGCTTATTTGTGGGGTCTCCGTCCCCTGGCGGGGCACGGCAGAGGGCGCGGGCGCACCCCGCTCTAGGGACACGACAATCCCAGCCCCGGGCCCACCTGGGCCCCCTCAGCACCCGCGCTGGGCCCAGCGCCCCGGGGCGGCGCGGCGCGAGCAGCAGCGCCGCCTGCCGGGCAGGGCGGGGGCGCTCCCTGCCCTGGGTCCCTCCCGGCCCGTCTGTGCCCGCTTCCCGCCGGTTCCCCCGCTCCGCTCCGCTCCGCCCCGCCCGGCTCCGTCTGTCTGCAGCGCGGCCGCAGCTGCCGGCACAGATACGGTGTCGGCGGGCCAGGAGAGCGCGGAAACACCTGTTTCCAACATGGGGAAGGTGGGGAGGGAGAGCGAGCGGTAGTGCCCGGCCCCGCCGCGGGCTCCCACCCCTCCCGGCGGCTGTAACCCGGCCGTATAGCCCGTGGGATCGGCTTTCAGAAAGATCGCATTCCGTTTTTACACGTTCGGCTGAAAAACGCGTCTCGACCCTCTCCTCACGTGTTGTTTTTTTCCACCGTGTCCGTTCCGGGGGGTGGCGGGTGGGGGGCACGCTCGGGGCTGAGGCGGTGGCGGCACCGACGGACCTGGGGCTTCCGACAGCCCCGGGGCCACCGACCCACCCGGGGGCTCCGACCGAGCCGGCCCGTGCGGGGTCTGGGGTCGCGGCTGCGGGGCCGGGCAGGGCCGGGAGCGGGGCCGGGGCTGCCGGCGGTGCGGGAGAGGGTGCGTGCGGGGGCTCCATGATTTCATCGTCGGCTGGCGGGGACCTGCCAAGAGCTGTTACGCCTCACTGCGATGTGTAGCTTTTTCCTGCCATTTTTTTCATAATAAAAGAGGGAGTGAAGCGGGCTCTTTTTTTTTTCTTCATTTTTTTCCCTTTTTTTTTTAAAGGGAAAAAAAAAAAAGCCAAATGCATCAGAGAAGGGGGGGGGGAGGGAAGCAATAGCCAAAGGGGATGCCAGTGAGGTGTGGCTTGCATTTAAATATCCAATATGTCAATGTAAGGGGAGTGTGTACGTATATAAAGTGCAGTTCGCATCCGACGGCGGGACACTGGATCCAGCGATGGGAGGCGCGGGCGGCGCGGGGCCGGGCCGGGGCCGGCAGCGCGGGGCCGGGCGGCCGCAGCCCGCGCTCTGAGCGGCCGCTGTGCCCGCGCCCCCGGGGCCGCTCCGCTCCGCGCCCATGGCCGAGGTGGGTGGCTTCCTGGGCGCGCTGGACCCCGACCTGCACGGCTTTCCCCCCGCGCTGGGCGCCGGGCTGCCCCTCGCCGACTCCCCCGGCTTCCTCAACGAGCGCCTGGGGCAGATCGAGGGGCGGCTGCAGCGAGGCTCCCCCACCGACTTCGCTCACCTCAAGGGCATCCTGCGGCGGCGGCAGCTCTACTGCCGCACCGGCTTCCACCTGGAGATCTTCCCCAACGGCACGGTGCAGGGCACCCGGCAGGACCACAGCCGCTTCGGTAAGGGGCCGGGGGGTGCCCGAGCAGGTGCCCCGCGCGCACAGCTAATTACCCCGCTAATATAAATCATCCCGGGACGGATATAATTGGCCTCCTAAACAAATGCGCTCACTCCCCAGCAATGCGGGAGTTTTTATTTCCAATTTCCTACTCTCCCGGCGCTCAGCCTTTCTGCAGGTGCACTAAAACGTGCCTTTGCAAGAAAAACTAAAAAAAAAAAAAAAAAAAAAAAATTAGTAAAGAAAAAAAGAGGACAGTGACCAGCTTTAGCTCTGCCTCTGAAGTTAGTGGTGAGGGAGACAAAACAGAGACGTTCCTCGTTGGAATTTCTTGGAAATTCCTAAGTTGGAAAAAGAAATTCCTCGCTTTTTTGCTTTTTTTAGTTGTTTCTTTTTTTTTTTTTTTTTTTTTAACAACTCCTCCTTTCTGGCGTCTGCAGATATTTGTGAGCTGCTTTCTTTTACATGCATGACTTTGATTAGAAGAGCGTCTCCCCAAAGCGGGCAGAGATCTGTTGGCTGGAGGGGTGTCGGGAGCTGGGTTTGGAAAGGTTGTTGGAAAGGAAAGGGGGAAGCTGAAGAGGGAAAAACACTTAAGGGACCTCGGAAAGAAAGAAGATGGAACAATAGGCAGAGCACCGTGGATTTACCTTGCTGCCCGGGATACAGCTGGAAGAATGCCGTGCCTGTATCAGTGGCATACAAGAGCAGTGATCTCTAATGAGACTATATGTAATCTTCAAAAAATGCATCCCAAGCCACAGGCGAAAGAGTGCAGTCAGTTTGAGCACAGTAAGAGAAATTCCCGCTACTCCAGCATCTAGTGCAGGTGTCTGTATAAGCTATCAACAAGTCCCATGCCAGTGATCTCAGCTATGTTGTCAACAGGTTGCAAGACGTGCTCGCAAGACTTTTTATAGTTTTCAAGTGATTTAACTCCTCGGTGAAAGGAATTCTTTTTTTGCCTTTACTTGTTTGCAAGCAGTCAGTTCTGATACTCCGGGAAGTGCTGCCGCTGCTATTGTTGGAGGTGTAAGGCAGGTTTTTGGAACAATTGGGGAAGCTTATCTTTCCATAAACACCAGGTGTGTGCATGGCATGTCCCTGCCTAAATCAACAAGAAAGTCATAACCCGCGGGTCAGAGTCAGGTACTAATTAATATGCTCGTGGGTCGAGCGTTCTTTAATTACCTCCTGAAAACACCCATCTTTTAACCTTTCATGCTGTAATACACGATGGGTTTCCACGTTCAAAGAGTTGAAAGCAAACCCATTGCATCTGGTTGGTTTTAGTTCAAGATGCCACGTAGTGTTTCTAGTCTATCAGTTCTTTTTCCTTACCTTTGTAGAACTAAACAGCCAGTTTCATATGGCAGCGTTTGTTTCAGATCCATTTTTTATAAACATTGAGTAAAGCAAGTATATTTTCCAACTTGGAAAAAACATGTTAGACATGCTAAAACTTTTCATGGATTTTGCACGCTGAAGTTTAAGTCGCACAGTGATTTCAATAAATCGAAACATTGGCATTCCCTAAGTGTTTTAGCAGTCCACATCCAGCTCCGTAAACTAGACCAGACTTCAGATATTATAGTTTTCTGCTTCAGGGTTTTCCCAGAGGCGGTGTAAAATAAATAGTTATTTGTTGTAATTGCAAGACAAAGCCCCAAAGGATTAGACTGGAATCCTTGCGTTCAGATCAAGTTGGACTAAGCCTTGCTTCAGCAGAGACTCAAAGCAATAATGTATTGGCACACAGTATTCACCATCTGCGTTCAGTAGCCATGAATATTTAAATTCCAATGTTACTGGTATGGTTCATATTAGGATGTCATGTATCGATGCATTCCTAAATTTTGCATGCAACAGTCAGAAAGAAGTAACTTCTAACAGGAATAGGCAGCCTGAGCGATTCTGGGACTCCAAAGCTGTGGTGAGGGGTGCAGAGGTGGACAAGGGGTTCAGGGAAGCACTTTAAAGCTGCCTTAAATCTTGAAGCACCTGGAGAAATACTTAGAAATCCAGGATCAAGCCCACGTGGCTGGAATGTGCTTGCTGGTACCATGAGCAGATCATTAAGTTGCTCCATGGATGGCTGTGATGCCACAGCCCAGGCACGTGTCCAGCTGCAGGTGGGATGTTGGGTAGAACCAGACTTGGCATCCCCATCACTTCACTTGGAAGGGATTCAGGAAAGGACAGGCGGTATCTGCACCCTCCCATGCACAGCCATCCCAAAAGCTACCAGATGTGCAAGGCATCCACATCTTCCAGAGAGGGAAATAGCCAAAGCCCCCTCATGCAGAAGAGTCCCAAGGTCCCAACAGTGAGGGTTAAAAGGAGAGATTCTTTTGTACCACAGCATTTGGGGGTGTGACTGTAGGACACGGGGAGGTGCTGGCATCATCCGCCCACACTGCCTGAGCAATCACTGGAATTACTGCCTCTTATCTGTCAAGGACTGGAGCTTTCCTAAATCACACCTGTCTACTGGAATGTGATACTTTATACTTCTAAAAACACAGATTCTTGCAAGAACAATGGAGCGCAGCTTATTTTTCCTAGAGGAGCTTTAATGCAAAATGTGGAAAAGCCCTCTAGGTTTCTTGGAAGAAAGCTCATTCTTGCACTACAGAAGTGCCCAAATTCACTCTCTCAACTGGAGGCTCTGGCAAGGTCACCCCCAAAAGGATAAAGTGTTTTCCAAAATCTATCTCTCTCACTGCATCTACTCAGAACCTTCCTCTACAAAGAAATAAAGGACGATCAAAATCTGGAGGGGGTCTGGACTGACATTAGTACCCCATGACAATTCTTCTCAGAATGAAACTGAGAGAAATTTACTGGGAAAATCCCTTCCAGGAGGAACTGCTCCTTTTCTGCCTCACATCTCTTTTACAGCAGCATTAAAGAAGTGAACCCAGCAGTGCTACTCACTGCAGTGGAGGAGGGAAAGAGGCCTTGAGGTTGCACTGCAGATGAATAAAGGCAGAAAACAAAGCTCTTCTGGGGTACAAACCTGCTCATGGATATGTTACACAGATTCCTAGAGAAGCTGCTGAGACCCCCAGAGAAAGTTTGGCTGTAATTTTGACATTCAGACCATCGTGCACCTGTTGCTGAACAGTTGTTGAGGTTTTTAGCCAAAGCTTTAGGTTTGTAGCCATTAATACAACATCTGATGTTTCTGTACCCCAGCTCCTGAATACAGTCATGTAAGAAGAGACAGGTGCAGGGAGCAGAATTGTTCTTTGAGGGATGGTTTAGAGTAAGGCGAGAGTGTGTGGGTCTGGCCATGGCAAAGCTCAGGAGATTATTCAGTGCTTTAGTGGTAAATGAATCCAGTCAGGGTCTTAATCAAATCTCTCCAAGTCTTATCTGGAAAGACTCAAGGAACAAAGAGAATGAATAATCAAAGTGAGGAAAAAAAAGAGGCAAGTCCTGGGGGAAAGAAAAAAAGAAAGCAAAAGAAAAAAACAAAAGCATGTTCTACCACAAAAACACACCGCTACAATTGGAAAGAGAATTCTTGAGCTGGCCCCAGTGGCCACTCCCTGTGCTGCTGGGGATCAGATGTACGAAGCTGCAATTTTGTCTACAATTGGAGTGAGTTAAGGACAGGATGGATATCCGCCCACATATTTTCAGCCTTCACTCTGTCTCCTGACTTTTGTGGGCTCAAGTTACGTTCTTAATGCTCTTTCAACACAGTCATCTTCCATGCATGTCTCCAAGTGCCACTCAGAGATCAGAAAAGAGGAACACTACAAGGGATGTTGTCAGAAGAGATTGTCATGGGCACATTTTGGAAGAAATTTCATTTGAAATTCCCAGCCTGCACCAGGTGAGGGATGGGGATGTCTCATTCCTGCTCAGAGAAGGAAGATGCTGATGTTGCTCCTGGCTTGGTCCTTCCCAGGTCTTTGGAGACCTGGATTGATGTGCCTCATACAGAGCAGGACTGTGCTTTGTATGAGTGTGGGCATAGTCAAGAAAAGATCTGGGTTCCCCTGCCTTGGACATCCCTCAATTTCTCAGTGGAACCAGCAATATTTTCCTGCTTCTCAGAAGTGACAGGAGACAAAAAAAGTTCTGATGTTAAGGACTGCATCTATACCTACAGGAAGGTCCACCTACCATTCTCCAGTTACTTGACATGTTTCACTTGAATATTCCTTTGTCTCCAGCCTGGGAAACACTCCCCCATTCCTGGGTGTATCTGTGTACTCCTGCTTTACTTTTTACACTCCCTGTAGTTGTCCATCTTTCCTCACTCCCTCTTTTTCAAAGAGTGGCTGTGCTAATTTCTGGTCTGCAGATGGGAAAAAGCACTCAGCAGTTCAGTAACTCCCTCATGTCAGAACTGGTGGGCAGTGAAGGGAGGAAACCACCCCTCATCCTGCACCTCTCTCCTCCCTGTTTGGGATTATTTTCATCTAAGAAACCACAACAGCTACTGAGAAGAGCAGAGCCAGGGTCTGTGTCTGTCTGGCTTGGAAAGGCTGCCTTCCTTGCCTATGCTGCCTCTTCCTGATGTTTCTGCAGGCCAGGATGTGTAGCTGGGTATATTTCAGCCTGTAAAATGTCTGCTCTGGTCCATAAAGTGTGTTTTGTGGTGTTTGCTTCCCTGTTTGCCTCCAGGCCTTGCCACTCCCAAGTCCATATTTCGTGTCCCCTAGCACCCACTGGTTTCAGGGAGGGCTGGGTTAGATGCACAAGCCCCAGAGCAGGCAGGGGAGAAGGAGGACAGGCCTGAGGGTAGGGAGGAATTCCTGCAGCCAGCTTGGCTGCCAGCACCTGGGGATGAGTCTGCACTGCACAAAGTGGGTCAGGGGTGTCCATGGCTGTCAGCACTGTCCTGTATTTAGGCAGTGATGCAGTGTCATCTGAGAGTTGTCACATCCATGCCCCAGGCTGTGGGGTGACCCAGAGCTGTGGCTGCCACTGAAGTCAGCTGGCTCAGGTGGCCGCTTGTCACGCGTTGCCTTAAAACCAAGGCAATACTTTTAAGAGGAGCTCTGGGAGGTAACTTGATCAGAGCATCAGTTGCCCAAGGCTGGATGTTTTGGGAGCTAAATTAGGAGAGCTGGAGCCATGCTAAAGGTTAGAGCAACTTTCCCCTCCAGTCAATGGAACATCAGATGAGATGAGGAAAAGCCTCTTCCTTCTGACTCCCAGCTAATTAATCCTGCACTGCACACTGGCAAAACTGCCCATGACCTCTACAGAAGTAGTGTGTGAAATCCATAATAACACAGTCCCACCACTCCTTTCAGGAAGGCTTCCTGGGAAGATTGAAGGTCCCCACCGCTTGTGGTGTTGGCTAGGGGCTGTTTGTTTTTAAGTGCTTCACCAAAGGTTCTCCTGTTACAAGTCTTTCCCCCATTGAAACAGCTGCAGCTGTGGGGGTGCAGCAGCCAGACCCTGCTGTTTCTTTCCAGAGGAAATGGGGCTGCCACCATCATAGCAGGCTGCAGCCCATGGGTGAAACAGCTGCTGTTGCAGGGCTAAGGATGGCTGGGACAGATGCTGCTGGACTGGGGAGAGGCAGGAGGCTGGGACAGGCAGCAGGACATAGGGGGCAGGAGGGGGTTCTGCCAGTAACAGTGGCAGGGGGTGATGGAGAATGGACTGGCACTTCCCTGACTCCAAAGGCTGCAGAGAAGACGTGTTTTTAACCTGTGTGCTGTGAAGCTGGGTTTTATCCCTATGGCTTGTATATACATTTTGGGTTGCCAAGTATCCCACTGGAGTGCCAGGATGAAGATAGTCCTCACAGACATCTCTTCTAGTGCTTTTCACTTCTTCTTACTGAACCCATGACTTAAAAACCTGTAGGACAATCATCTTATTCTAGAAGACAAAACAACATTTGTTTTGGTGAAGAATAAAACCTAGCATGGTAACAGGCTTCTGACATTGCAAGTGGCCAGGCCCAAGTTTCTACATCTGTCTTCTTGGTGATAATTATGAAAAAAATCCAAACCCAAACCAGCAAAACCTTGCAAAGCTTTTCTCATTAGCAAAGACAATCCCTCTTAGGCAACTCAAATTCACAATGCTGGGGAGAAGCCCAGACTGGAAATCAGAAGATTGCACACAGATGGGACTATAGAGTTAAGAACTCTATTGTTACTGGGAATGGCTGGTTTATTTTTGTTGCTGGAGCCTGGTGTTGTTTTTTTTTTTCCTCTGTATGATTTGCAGGTTTTTTTTCTTTTTTAGGGATTTTGGAGTTTATTAGCCTGGCAGTGGGGCTGGTGAGCATCCGTGGGGTGGACTCCGGACTCTACCTCGGCATGAATGAGAGAGGCGAGCTCTATGGGTCGGTAAGTTCAGGCTGGGCTGATTCCACCCTGTCCCACTGGAGCCTGTGGCCTCAGCTGGGCCACAAAGCTGCTCTGGCACAGGCCCTCCACGTCCTTGGGTGCCAGTGATCTCCATCCTACCCTTGATGTCACTGCTGTTTTAACATGAATGACATATAGGAAATGGGGTTTGAGGGAGGATTCACTCCTGCTGTGGCAGCCCCCAGTGGTGCCCAGCCCCCAGACATCACTCTGAGGTTTTGCCTTTCAGAAATGGTGTGGCAGTGGCCAGGTAAAGGCAGGGGGACATTTAGCAAAGAGCCATGTTTGTTAATGTGTTTTCCCAGCCTGAGTAACACATCAGTTGTATTCACCTCTCATGGTCAGGTCTGCACCTATCTGCAGGTCTTGTCTCTGTATTATGGCTCTTTAACCAACAGAAGCTGAAATTGTAGCCTGACTGTTATTGTAAAATTCTCTGTAACTCCTTTTAGGAGTTTAAGGCTGCTGGTCATGATTTCCTAGAAGTGCCATTTTCAGGCTAAAATTTTCCATGTTTTGACTAAAAACCCCAAGTGTAAACTCGTTAAGTGTTATGACTTACAGTCAAAATGCCAGGTTTTAACAGCTGGGCAGAGGTGCTTCCTACAGGTTAATTTAACTCAGTTCCTAATTATTTAGCTCAATTAAGGGTGGATCACAGTAAAAATAAAATTAAATCAAATAAACTGGTTTTAAACCAAAGCAGAAGGCAGCACTTCCTCTCACCATCAGATAAGCTTCAGTGTACAAGTTAAAACTCATGTACTCTGCATACACAGAAGCTGTAAGAAAACCTTTGACTGGCAAACCACAAGTTTAGATCATTTTTCCTTGTCCCATTTCCACCTGAGACTGCCACAGACCCTTCCACCATTTAAGACACAGCTGCTGATGTTAATATGAGGTAGTTGTCCAGAGAAGCTGTGCCTGCCCCATCCCTTGCAGTGTCCAAGGCCAGGCTGGATGGGGCTTGGAGCAGTGTGGGATAGTGGAAGGTGTCTCTGCCCAGGGCAGGGATGAGCTTTAAGGTCCCTTCCAGCCCAAACCACTCTGTGATTCTCTGATCATCAAATACTGCATGCACCAATAACTGTTCTTTTCCCACCTCATTTCTGTAACAGCTTCTGCCCAGCACAGCAGTTAAATGCAGAGAGAGTGGTTAAATTAAAAATGTGCAAAACAGAGAAAAGAAAAATCAGCAGGATTCCATAAAGCACAAAATCTCCTGAAGCACACTTGAGAAAGCAGGGCTAGAGCAGCACCTCTCCTGTCAAACTCTAAGGCTGCTCAGCAGCTCCTGGAGTTTCAGCTTTCACTCGTGCCTGCTGGAGAACATGAGCCCATGCATCCCCCCCCCCATGCCTTCAAACCTTGCAGCTCTGATTGTGAATCGAGTTTCATGATGGGTTAATTAAATTCTAGATCCTGTGTTCATGTTACAACACAGAAACAAAAATAGGGTAACATTTTACAGCACTGAATCTGGAAACAGAATTGACCTGAAGACAGTGGTGGGAGCTGTCCCTGCCCATGGCAGGGGTCTGTAATGAGGTGATCTTTAGGGTTGTTTCCAACCCAGACCATTCTGGGATCTTGTGCACCAGGCAGGACGCTGCAGGAACGCACTCAAAAGGCTGCTCCAAACTGCCGGCGTCACGAGCCAGGTCCCCAAATAACCCTGGAGTTTGAAAATCTGGGACACGTGGGTTGTACAATGATGGCTTTTGGAACTCAAAAGCCACTACAGTATTCTTAATTAAAGGTCCATAAAACAGCGCCTGACAACAGCATTAGCATTACAATGGTATTTTGGGAGATCACAGTACAGCGGTATTTTTAAATTTTCAGCAAGTTTATTATTTCCCTCTGTGCCGATTTTGCCTGATGCCTGTGTTGATGCAGCCAGGGCCAGCCATCCCCACAGCGACACGTGGAGTCCCCTCAGGACACAGAGCTTTTCCTCCTGTCCCTGTTTGCCTCGTGCCAGCATTGCTGTAAAGCTCCCCAAGGATTTCAGGAATGCCACTAATACTTAGGGCAGCTAAAGTCATGGGCAGCACCTTGCCTGCTGCCTGTGTGGTGTCAGGTTCAGTGGGGACATCCCAGGGCTTGGAAAGGAATAAATCACACCTTGCAGAATCACCCCAGACTCGCCAAACATTTTCCACGAGCACTGTACTCCAAAGTGCCCAGTGCAGCACAGGGGAATGGGGGCAGAGCAGCAGCCAGAGTTCAGGCAGTCATCAGGTTCCAACATATTCCAAGTAGATGGCACCTGAGAGGAGGGAAAAAACCCAGCCTGTATTTATTGACAGAGCTGGGAAGAGAAGCCCGCGGTTCCCTGGGTCTCAGATGGCCAAGGCTGTGGCCTAGGACTTTTGGAGGGCTCACAGCTCACCTCAGGCTTTATTTAATTAGCAGCAAAACATTGAAAACAGCTTCTGAGCACAGGTGAGCTCCTGGATTGTGTTACAAAACACATCTACTGCAAGCAGTAACATTTACTGAGCACTCAGTGTGCCTCAGAGGGGACACATTCCCTGCCCAGATAGTTTACAGTGGAGGGACAGTGGCTGTAATATTAGAGCACTCTACATTTGCAGGCTGCCCTTCAGCTGAAAGGGCTCCCAGTCACCCTGGCAGTACCCCTGTGGGATGGGATAGGATGGCTGGACCCTCTGTGACAGCACAGCAGGGCTGGCAAAGCCACCTGTGTCCTTGTAGGGCAGAGGGACAGCCTTGCTCCCCACTGCAGCCAGGCCCATCCCTGTAGCTGGCACATGGAGATGGGAAGGAGAGGGAAGGAGCACTGGACATGAACCAAAGGTCCATCATCAAACAGCCACTGCCAAGAGCTCCCAGCTGTAAGGGCTGGATGGGAAGGCTGGCTGTGGCTGTGGTGACACCAGTGCCATCTGTACCCCCATGCCAGCATGGGATGCACCAGCCACACACCCTCATCACATCACCTATCACCCCCCTAAATGTTCCCTGGGGTCTGACATCTCACATCCCTCTGGGTCTTGTCACAGCCTCCCATCACAGCTCACTGCCACTCCAGGAGAGGAAATCCTGAGCAATGCTTTCATTCCCATCTCAGTGCCTCCACCTCTGTGCCCTCAACTTCCAAAGCAGTGCTTGCTCCTGTTTTCCTGTTTAGAACCTTTCAGATGTGCTGCCTGGTGCTTCTCTCACCCAAAAGGGGGGGTTTGGGCTGTGTGGTACCTTGGAGGGGGCTGCTACAGGGGGATGTGTCCATGACCACCCCAGCAAGCTCAAACTCACACCTGGACAGGTTTGGAGCTTTGCTGTGTGCCTGTCTGATTTACTCATAGAACACCTTTGCAAAATCCATGCCCACCTTCTCCTGCCTTTGTCTCCTTCCTCCTCCAACTCCAGAAGTCCTTGGCTCTTGACTTGTGCCCATTTCCAGCTCTCATCCAGGGCAGTCATCCCCAGCAGCACAGTCCTCATCCTCAGAGTAGCCAGGATAAGGCAATGGGGAAAGTGCTAGAAAAACAAAGGAAGGAATGGTGGCGATGTTTTCTCCTGTACCTTTTTGACACGAGTGTGTCTGTGTTTCCCCACGGCAGAAGAAGCTGAGCCGGGAGTGCGTTTTCCGCGAGCAGTTTGAGGAGAACTGGTACAACACGTACGCGTCCACGCTGTACAAGCACCCCGACTCGGAGCGCCAGTACTACGTGGCCCTCAACAAGGACGGCTCCCCCCGCGAGGGGTACAGGACTAAGAGACACCAGAAGTTCACCCACTTCTTACCCCGGCCTGTGGACCCTGCCAAAATCCCTGCCATGTACAGAGACCTCTTCCACTACAGGTGATGGTTCCTGCAGTGGCAGTGTACATACTTGGGCTCCCGAGCTTTTTCCCAGAGCACTCTTTTAATAGTCATTCCATCATTCCTGTAAGAGTAGATGACCTAGGGAAGCACTTACATTGAATTCAGACACTGCTGTTCCTCCTTGTTTCCAGTGTATATCGAACCTGGGTTATTTATGGGGCGGGGGTAGGGGAAGGGAGGGAACCCTACATTTAATCTTCCATTTTCGTTCACTTTCGTTGCCCGGTTGCTACAAGAGAGGCTGAATATTCAATGTTATGGTTGCTTAAAGGAACGAGCAGGTGAGCAAACCTGATCACTGGGGAAAAGAAAGCCCCAAAACAACCTAAAAATGAAGAGAAGAAAAGAAAACAAAGACCACAGAACTGCTGCAGATGTTGCTGCTGAGCTGGGATAGTTCCCTGCTAAGGAAAAGCCTTTGAGTGGTGCCCTGCTTAAGCAGCCTGGGAGTTTGCTACATGGATGATGCTCCATGGACTGGTCCTGATTTGTGGGGTTCTTCCTGCTGTTGGGGTGGGAATGGGGCAAGGAACATTATTCAGATGTAAGCATGGATACTGTGCATAAGGACAAAACTATTTATAAAATGTATATGATATTTATTTTATATATTTATTTATTTCAAAATAATTTTATTTTTAATGAGAGATGCTATGACCGGATTTTCATCAGGAAGAATAAGGTCCTACTGAAACAGGAAAAAAAAAATGAGTTTTAAGAGCTTATCGGCAATAAAATTGTCTTTATATTATAGATTTCTTGCCAGCCCTTTTTTTTGGCACTCTTCAACAACTAACCTGGTATTTCCCCAGCAATATGAACAATAAATCCACCTCTGAAAGGGCTTTGTGCAGTAAAGATCAATTACCTGAGCCCCAGATTCCTGCAGGAAGATGACATCAAATCACAGGTCTGGGAAGCACCAGCTCGGTCTCCCTGGGGCATGAGGCATCCCTGTGGATTTACTGTCCTGCTCAAAAGCAAGAGGACAGACATTTGGAGCATCTGCTGTGTTTTGGATGGACCCATCAGTCCTGCAATAAAACCAGCACATCTTGCATGAGATTTACCTGCAGCATCATGAAAAATCCGTGGAGAAATAGCAACAACAGCAATTCCAAACCCCGTCACTTTTAGGCAATAACCGTGGATGAGGGTGAGCCCCTGCTGCAGGCAGTGCTCTGGGATGTTCATGGCTGTGTGGCATTTTCCTCTGCAGAAGCTGCCTGCCCCCACAGTCCTGTCACCTTTCCTCTGCCTCCAGCTGGGCTCAGCAAACCTGATGACATTTGGCAACCCTGAGCCAGCCCCATATTCCCAGCTGGTGCCAGGGAGCACAGCCCTCCTCCAGTCAGGCCAGCCCAGGGACACTCATGGGGGAGGCTTGGCTGTGCCAGCACAGGCCCTCAAGTGTCACCTGTGCCACATCTGCCCTTGCTGCCTGCTTGGGATGTCCCAGACCTGCAGGGAAGGCTTCCAGCAATGATGCCAGCTCATGTTCTGTCCCCTGTGGTCAGCAGAGAGGGATTTTGGCATGGTGGGAGCAGGAGTGTGTGGCTGCAGAGGCACAGGCACTTTGCAGCACGAGGAGAGGCTGACAGCAAACAGGGTTCTCTGGAGTGTGCAAAAACCTGAACAACTACAGCTGTGCTGGCTCTGGCTTTTCCTTATCACAACTGCCTTGTCCAGAGTGCTGTTTCTTAACCTCCTCCTTGCAAAACAGTCATAGTAGCACCTCAGCTCCTTCATCTTCAGCCTGTGAATTCCCTGGACATTTTCACTGACCTAGAGATGATCCACACCAGCTTCCTCGTGATCTACATCACTAATGGAGCAGCAGCTCTAGAGGCCAGCTCTGCTCCCGACTGTCTCTCACCCTCTCTGCCACCTCCATGTCCCTTCGCTGTCCCAGCGGGTCCAGCAGCCATCAGACAACAGGCTGGGGTTGGCAATGAGGAGATTACAGGAGCTTTACCTTCAATGATCCAGACATGAAGGAATTTAATCCCGTGTTTGAAATAAAAAGAGTTTATTTAGCTTCTTCCTCTGAGTCACTGCCGAAACATCTCATCCCCAGCTGCCGTGTCGGGAGCTCCAGCGCTCACGAGTCCTCAGGTGCACTTTTGACCTTCCCCTGCTTCAAGGGAAATCCCTCAGCCCTGGAGCCTTGCTTGCCCCCTGGAACGATCCTGCTCCCTCCAGCCAGGGCTTTTTGTTGTGCTTGAAGATAAATCTGGTGGTTAAGATCCTGCTCTTTTTCAAAATGAAGGTCAAAACCTGATCTCAGCAATGCCAAGTACATTTTTACCAACTCCAAAGGGAGATGATTTGGCCCATCGGGGCAATGCTGGACTTGTTCTTCTAATACCCAACTCAATGAGCTGCTGCAGCAGAGCCTCCTGCCACAAAGGGACACACAGGTACCAGGGATGCTGTAAAACACCTTCTCAGGATCTGGGTTCAAAAAACTCATACTTGCAAAAAGCAAAATCCACAAAGAATTTACTAGAAACCCCTTGGTAAAGGCTGGTGTCCTGTCCTGTCCTGTGTGGGGCCTTCATTAAATAGGGAATTCAGCACTGCTAAATCCCACCCAAATGGTTATTTCAGAGGAATTTGCATTGTTTGGTTCTGGTTCAGCAAAGCAGCTGAAGATGAGAGTGACCTGAGTGAGCTGGGAGCTGAACAGCAGCAGAGGGAACCACCACAGACGTGGGGTGCATTTTGAGTGGCACAGGAGGGGGCTGTGATGCACAGTGGGTTTGTGTGGACACCCTCATCTCTCCAGCCCATCCTGTCACCCCGGTCCAGCTGTTACCTCACCTGAAGATGCCAACTGCTCCTTTGGCCTGGAGGTGTTACAGGGCTGGCAGATGGACCTTGCTAGGAAAGTTTGAGAGGAAAACACATTTGGGTTGCTTGAAGCTAACAGAATCTTCCAAGTCAGCAAAAGGAAACAGTGTTTGGGGTCTCAGCTCATGTAGATTCCATGGAATTCAAAGTCACAACAGCCAACTGGAAAACTTCTCTCAAAGGAGAGGCAAAGGCTGGTGCAGGGAGGGCTGTGGTCCCCAGAAACTCCACTGTGCCCCTGAGCCCAGAGCTGCTCTACACACAAGGCCGTGGGTCTGGAAACAGCACAGCAAGGACAAAGGCATCTCTTCAACCCTTCTCCTTCCACCCAGGAGGGGTGGGCCTGCTCTGTGAAACTTTATCTGGGACAGCTGTGCAGAGCAGGAGGGAGGAGGATCCAGCAAAGAGGTGGGAAATGCTGCAGTCTCACTATGGAGGGTGCAGAAACAGGGGGGAGCTGCCTGGGAGAGGCCAATGTGGAGCCAGCACAGCAGTAATTGCCTTTCTCCCTGCCTTTGGCTCATGAGCCAGGGCACAGGGATGGATTGGATGGAGGCTGACATACAAGTGCCAACATCCATGTGCCCTCAGGACATCCATCCCCATGGAGACCCTGCTGCCTGTGGGTGGAATGCATGGCTTGGGGCTCCTTTCTCCAAAGGGGAAAAGGAGAGAAGGCCCCAAAGACTCACCTCCTGTGGAGAGTGATGGAGAGCCCAAAACTGCAGAGGGAATCCAGAAACTCAGAAAAAATGCAGAAGATCCAGAAACTGCTGGAAGGCAATGAAGGTGCCATGGTGCTGTCCCACCTGGCTGGACATCCAAGATGTGCTGCTGCTGCCAGACTTGGCTGAGATGGTTCTGGAAGGACACCCAGGGATGGAGCATTCCTGAAGGACAAGGGCTGAAGTTTGTGTTGATGTGGAGACAAAGACATCTGCACCCCTTGGATCAGTGCTGGTCATTGCTTCTTCCAAAACTGCCCTGAGCTGCTGAATTCTCATCATGGAGAACACCAAGGCTGTCACCTCACACCTGCACTGGGGGTGAGCAGGAGCCCTGGGAAGTGAATTCCAGGGATTCTCAGGCTCTTCCCTCACTGTGCTAGGAAGTGTCTGGCACCAAGATGCCACCAGGCAGGGCAGGTCACCACACCAGACATGGCCAGGGCACATGTCCTCCACTGCTGCTTCTTGTGGGCATGGGGAGAACCCAGGGAAATGAGCAGCACTGAATTCCCAAAGCAGCTGGAGTGCCTGGACCGGGCTTTGAGGGGTGCCTCAGGTACCAGTTCCTGTCTCATTCATTCTCAAGCAGGTTTTGTGCACACAAGGCCAGGGTGGTGTTTGAGATCAGACCTTGGAAGTGGCTGAGCACAGACCCAAGGGTGACCCCACCTCCCCCTGTGCCCACCTCCCCCTGTGCCCACCTTCCCTTCTCCAGGGCAGTTTCCCCACTGAGGCCACAGCCCCTTCCAAGTCTCCTCCAGTGACCCCCAAGCCACCCCTGGGGAAAGCAGGAACAGGAGCTGTGGCTGCATGAAAGGGTCACACACAGGATGAACTCATCCCACTCATCCCAGCAGGGCAGGAGCTTGTCCAGACCCTCCACAGCAGCACAGCTTTCCCAGAGCCACATTTGGAATTATTCTGGTGCTCTGTCCCAGGCAACATCCCCAGGGTGGGTTCCACAGCACAGAGGGTGCACAGGGGGTTATTTGACACCTGAGCAGGTCTGGGAAGTTCAGACACCACGTGGTTACTGGTGCTGGTGCTGCAACACCAGCTTTTTCCAGACTCCTCCAGCTGGGAACACTTAGGACATTTGGCTTTCCATAAACATTGAAAATCTATCCCACTTCAAAACTATTTTTTGCTTGAACTGATGAATTTAGTTTCATTTACTGTGTGGAAAGTGGTTCTGCTTTTAAGATAAAGGCAAAAGCTGCTCAGGCTGGGCACAGCTGACACAGCAACAGGGCTGGTCAGTGTTGGGACGCCTCAGCCCAACATTCTGGACATGGGACTCGTCCCAGGACACTTCCCAGCCCAACACAGACAGCCACATCCAGCCTGAGCTGCCCACTGCCTCCCATCAGTGTTCAGCCAAGTTCAAAGTCCCAGGGAT